CCTCTCAACATTCAAGAGATCATTTTCAATGTAAACAAATCTGCAACTTGACCTACATGTGATACGAGAAATAGTCCTGACAATATAATTTTGCGTGGTTTGTAGTATTTTTAAAGTACTAGTGTATGCGGCTCCCCAAATACTTATCCCGTAAGTTAGTAGAGACCCCACAAACGAGTTATATATTGCTTAAAATATTCCTAAGAATGAAAAACTTATGAATAATTGTCCTTAATTTCGATGCCAAAAGCTCGGCATGACTCTGCCATTTTAAATTACTGTCAACAATGATTCCTAAGTATCTAATAACTTCAACTCTTTCGACAGTGTCAGCACTATCATTTATAATTAATGTTCGGTGGTGTAATGGCATGCCTGCTTTGGTTGGAGAAAACGTTACATACTTAGTTTTAGAGATATTAAGTTTAAGTAAATTGTTATCCAACCAGTATTTGACTTTATTTAATGACAACTCGGCATTCCGTATTGCGTCATCCCACGAATGACCAGTGCAAACTAAAACAGTATCGTCTGCATATGATATCATCTTACAGTTGAAATTACATCGAAGTAGTTCATTTATGTATATGAGGAACAGTGTTGGTCCCAAAACTGTCCCCTGAGGCACACCTATTTTGATCTTTTGAATGTTGCTTAAATCTGACCCTACCTTAAGTTGTTGTAATCGATCAGCCAAATAGTTCTCAAATAAGTTCAGAACTCCACTACGCACTCCAACACTTCCTAGTTTCTTTAATAAAATTGTATGAGATACTGAATCGAAAGCCTTTTAATCCAGGAAAACTGCAACAGTCTTATTTCCATCTTGAAAATTTTCAAGCACTTGTCCTGTAAGTTCTTGTAGAGATTGCTCTGTATTGCAATTTTTGCGGAACCCAAATTGACAGTTCGATATTATGTCATATTTCCCAAGAATATTTCTCAAACACTTCTCAAAAATCTTCCCAAATACATTGATAACTGAAATAGGTCTATAATTGAACATATTGTCTTTACTTCCAGATTTAAATATTGGTGTCACTATGCTTTCTTTAAATTGGCGAGGAATTACTGAGGATTTGAAACAGAGGTTGATATACTTAGTTATTTCTTCGTTAATATCCAAACGCATTGACAGTGGTTATGATCACTAAATCATCAGCGAATGCTAAGCATTGGTGTTTCTTATGGTAAAGTAATCCTTCTCTATTTATTTTCGCATCTCTTATAATCTTTTCAAGACATAGGCTGAACAGGACTGATGAAAATGGGTCTCCTTGTCTGACTCCTCTAACTGCAAAAGAATCCGATAATTCGTTGTTGATTTTGACTTTATTTTCTGTCTTCTTCATTAATATCGTTATCAGTCTAATAAGTTTTTCTTCGATTCCTATTAATCTTAAAGCCTCGATCATTGTCTTCCGATTTACCTTATCGTATGCTTGTTTGAAGTCAACGAATAAGCAAATGTCGGCTTCAAGTGCTCGTATCTTTCTGCCTGTATTTCTCGTAGTACGAAGATTTGGTCTATTGTGCTTCTTCCGCGCCTGATATTCCCCTACGATGCTTTCCATACTTTCTCTCAGTAGATTCTTCATGTACGATGTTAATCTTTTATAGATAATATTCATTTAGTGCAATTCCTCTGTAATTGTGACATTTGCTCTTATCTCCTTTCTTATATATTGGGCATAGATTGCGTCAGTCCACCCTTCTGGTATTTTTTCATATATACAATATTGTTTCTCGTATTTCGGTTAATTTTGGTGCTTTGTCGTTGTCTTCTATTGGAATATTATCAAAGCTCTCCCTTTTATTGTCTTCTTCGGTAACCTGTGTTTCTCTTCTGCCACTATTCTGTCTTCGTTATCTTTATATATCATCGTTTTGGGTTGGTATCCATTCCTATCCCATTTAACGCACTGATAAATATTCCTTATCTCCTTGTTTTTGTAATTTTCTTCTATTTTAGAGTTGATTATTTTCTTCCTTCTCTTCTCTCTGGATTGTATACTTTTATAGAAATTGGTTAAGTAACTTATTTAATTTTAGTATACATATTATATGATTATTCTGCTGCTTGAAGTGTACTAGTATTAGACCTCAATGCAGTTTGTTAATTTCACTCGTTCGTTAAGAAACAGATTTTTTCCACCAGTATTAGTTCCCTAGTTTCATGTTTGATTAATTAATAAAAAATAAAGTGTTTTTTAGTACCTATGTGTTTTAACCTACGGCCCTTTCGTTTTTCAAAATAAAATCAATTTTAATCATAAGGGTTGTCCAATAGGGACGCAGGAAAGTAAACGTCAATTTGACATAGACGCCATCTTTGTTTTCTGTCACCGACATGTCATTTTGTTAGTTGCATGTTTACCATTGATCGCTATGGAGTCGTATTCGATTGAAGACCGCATTAAAGTTATTCAAGAGCACTACAAAAATGGTGCAAAAATGAAAAACACGTTTCGCGCACTTCGTGAACATTTCGGTTGCAACAACCGCCCAAACGAAACAACCATCGGTCGTCTGGTGCGTAAATTCGAGGCAACAGGTTCTGTGTCAAATCTGCCAGGCTCTGGCCGACCAAGGAGCGTTCGCACACCGGAAAATATTGCTGTTGTGAAGGAGAGTGTGAGAGACGATCCGAAACAATCAACAACGCGTCGATCCCAAGAATTGGGCATTTCGAGAACCAGTTTGCTCCGCATTCTCCACAAGGATTTGAATGTACACGCCTACAAGATCCAATTGACGCAAGAGCTGCGTCGGGCCGACCATTTTTCGCGCCGAACGTTCTCAGATTGGCTCCTTGAACACCGCCAAATTGATGCCAATTTTTCTTCAAAAATCATGTTCAGCGACGAAGCGCATTTCACTTTGAATGGGATGGTAAACAAGCAAAACTGCCGCATCTGGGCGAACGAAAATCCCCGTGAGTATCAAGAGCAGCCGATGCATCCTCAAAAAGTGACTGTGTGGTGTGCATTGTGGTCAAAAGGCATCATCGGACCTTACTTTTTCGAAAACGCGACCGGGGACGCCGTTACCGTCAATTCTGAGCGATATCACGTGATGATAGAGGACTATTTTTTGCCGCAACTTGAAGGAATGGATATGGACGATGTTTATTTCCAACAAGACGGTGCAACATGCCACACAACCAACGTCAATATCCATCGATTGCAGTCCTTCTTCGGTGATCGCGTGATTTCGCGCAGAGGAAATGTGCCATGGTCACCAAGATCGTGCGATTTGACTCCCTTGGACTTCTTTTTATGGGGATATTTGAACAGCAAAGCCTACGTCAACAAACCAGCCACCCTCCAAGTACTCAAAAACAACATCATTGCCGAGATTAATGCCATAGAACCGACCATGTTGCAAAATGTCATTGAAAATTTCGACCATCGCGTGGACGTCTGTAAATCCAGTCGTGGTGAACATTTGAGCGATATTATTTTTCATACATAAATGGTATAAATGAACCTTCAAAATAAAGTACCCAACTTGATTTGAATATCAATCTTTCTTGTTTTAATATGCGTTTACTTTCCTGCGTCCCTTTTGGACAACCCCATATTTAAAAAAATATAAAAAAACTTGAATAATCCAAAAACGACAAAAAAGTATTTAAAACATGTTTTAAGCAGTTTAAAACAAATTGGTTTAAAACACCTACATTGTTTTAAACAGTGTTTAAAACACTTGTTTTAAACATTTTGATTAAAGTATAACAACCCTGTTACTGACATCACGTATATAAATCGTTGTTTATAAACGTGAAATATAAAACACCCAAAGAAGTTTAGGCTTGTGCTTGGGTTTACATACACATCAGCATACATGAAAAAGCGGCAAATATATAGCTGGAAAGATGAGGAAAAACCTTTTTTCAAGCAATTTTTACGAGCACATGTTTTGATTTCTGCTTTAAATTTTTTTCGATGTTACTATAATTTTTCAACGATACTGGAGTATAATTGCAAAAGTTTTGGACTCAAAAAAAGAAAATGTCTCCTACTATTGGCTTTTGTTGACTTTGGAACAAAAAACGAGATACCTAATTTTTTAATTGAATTTTTGTAAGATATCTTGGTCTTTTCCGTATGTGCGTTCCATTTTAAATGTCTGCCTAATGTTATACCTAAATATGTAATTCTCTCAACTGATCGGATTTCTTTATATTCATTTTTTGTTTGAAATTTGAAACATTAAATTCAAAACACAGTGGAATCGATTTCACATACCATGAGCATAGCAAATACTGTTTGAGAACACGTTCCATCTCAACATTGTTATATTTATACTTTGCAATAGGAGAAACACAATCTCGTATGTAAATGTAGCAGTGTTTCACACTTAGGATATAAGTTGCTAGCACAATAAATACTGCTTAATTATAAAAGGAATGCTACACAGCCGCACATGTATGAGTATGTGAAGAGTCGAAATAAAAATCGTCTCTTACGATCATCTGTTCACTTTCACATATATTTTTATTTTCTTGGGCTAAATATACACTCAGTCAGATATTACACTGCCACAGCTAACGATATGATATGTGTATCATGTCATCGCGAAATCGGCTTATTTTAAGTACATTTTATTTGCTTGTTTACAGATTATTGCATTAGTTGCTGACGATACTTAGAAATAGACCTCGATGAGATAACACAGGCTGGTTTATCTTTATGTCCTCTGCGTTTTATCATCGTTTATAGAATAAGGTCTTTCAGCGGAAATAAGACGATGAAATTAAAAAACATCTAGATCCGAAAATAAGAATTGTTTTTTATGTTATACTGTGGTACCAAAATGGAAGAGAATAGCATAACACATCGTATGCGGTCGCTAGTACGTCGTGCCTTTGTATCGGCAAAGTCAGTGCGCGCGGATCCCACCGAAAGCTTCCGTTTTGGTACCAATCTATAAAACGATACGTTTGCGGAGCTACTTGTTGGATGGTTCATCAGAAACATATCGTTTTCTTTTTTCAGGTTTAAAAATGGCAAAATCTACACATACATCGGGGAGGTGTGCGTTTCCGTCAACCCGTACAAAACGATGAATATCTACGGCCAAGATTATGTTGAACAATACAAAGGTTAGTGTTGATTCACATTATGCCCGATGGAACATTCTCATAATCTGTTTTACGTTACTCGCATCAGATTAACTGCAATTTTAGGTAAAACTAAGCAAACAACACAAACTGCCATCTATTACCAGAATCGACCGCTGCAAGAATGCTTATTCCCTAATGCTTATTTCGATAATCCTTGGTTACTGAATAGAGAATACTTTCACAGCTCTCGTTTGTTGTTGTACCTGAGACCAAGCCTAAACTACGCTGATGAGTTGCTAAAATTCTGGAAATAGCTGTCCATGGTTGGTGGTCTGTAATCGGATAGTTCAAAACTATCTACTCTCACTTCAAATATATAACATAATAACGACAAAATGCGAGTCTATGTATGTAAGGAAATACAACATAGTCAACCCAATCTAAAAATACGTAGGAATTAAGTTCAATGTCTCTACTAGGCGTGCAGTGGTGACGTATTTGTACTCGAATACGTATCAAATACAACTCAAATGGTTGTCGCATATACAGGGTGGCGCATCGAAAACGAAACAGACGCATTTACTGGCAGCTCACTTTTTTTTTGGGAAAAACGCTCAGCGCCGTCGATTTTGTTTTCGAGGGGGACACAAGTTAGGCAAAAAATTACTTTAAAGGTCTTTCAATTCCCTTTATAATGATCATCATAAGTAGTTGCCTTTACCTCTCGTATTTTCTACAATCTACTTGAGCTTTGGCATTAGCATGTCTGTATTATATTGACTTGCAAATGCTGATTTTGAATCGGTTTCTCATGTTTAGTTCCTCCTCGTAATTTTCATATAGTGATTTCCTAAAGCCTAATGAATGAATAGAAATTGATTACGACTTTCCAGAGAACGAGTAATAACAAAGGAACAATTACGATTCTAACAGCATTTTTATAAAAATAATAAATTAATCTCGGTAACTTGCTGGGTTACTTATGCCTGCGCTTCGCTGTCGGCGTTGATCGTGTGATCGTTCATAATAGGCACGAAGACGATCATAGACGATGATCGGCGAGTACACCCGATAAGTAATTATACAGGGTGACTTCGAAGTTGAGTCATTTATTTTAACAGTGAGTAGATCTGATCAAAAGAAATGTTTTTTCCTTTACCATTTTTCTGGTAAAATTAAAGTAACAAAGTTATAGCCCTTTGGAAGTTTGAGTACCGCCCTGTCTCAATAATATTATGCGCTCGTGTTTGGCAACAACGGATATAATCCGCCTTATCGGTTCATCGCATCGGAAACAAAAAAGCGAAAGAATTTGGAACGATGTTTTTACAATTATTTTATTCAGTTGTATACAGTCAGTGTCAGTCGGTAACGCGTGAGTGAATATTGGTGTCTGTTGCGTGGCTCAAACGAAATAAAAAATGGCACATGTTTATGCGGATCGGTTTCCCAATCGAGTGCAACCAATCCCTCGTGCCTTTGTTAATGTAGTACAACGGGCTCGTGAATCAGGTGACTTAAGACCTCACAGGGGACGGCATGCCGGTGCTCCAAGACCTCACGATCAAATACAGGTCCGCACTGAAATATTTGTCGCGAGGATACTTTATAAAACAAGGTAACATTTTTTTTTATTTTTACACACATATTTTGGTTTATCTTCCTTCTACAATCATTATCTGAAAATTAATGACTCAACTTCAAAGTATAAAGCAGGAAAAGTCAAAACGTTCAGATTTTTTTATATAACTGTCTAGCTGTACTTGGCGTGTTGGTTATGCATCTATGTGCTTCCTTTGTCTTTTGGAATTTGAATATAGCAATCACCCCATACAAGTATGCTGTATTTAATTTGATTTTGAAATAAGTCAACATTGCATGTCCTATTTTTAAATAGCCTGTTCGAAGCAGTATTCTGGCATGTGGCATGATTGAGAAGTGCAATAGCGATACTGTCAACAGGAAAACAATAAGACAGGGCGTTTCTTTTTATATTGTTTTTTGTCCGATTACATTTCCTCGTGTCCGCGTCCGATATTCCACTTTCCTGGAAAAATAAAGCGAGTGATTACTTGTTTTCTTATCACTGTCTCTCTCACTCTTCAAAACATCTTTGCTTTTCTTGAAAACTCATTTGTCAAAGAGAAAAAGTTATAAGTAAAAAAGTAATCACCCATCTCATTCTTCCATGAAAGTGGAATATTTGTTAACAAGCTACGATTGAAGAAAAAATGCACAGAAAATGCTTTTATCGACAAAAAAATTGATAGCATCGTTTTTTATTAATCTCTATAAACACCATGAAATAATCAGATGGAAAGGATTTAGAATTAGGAAGAAACAGGAAGAAGAAGAAATATTATGCGGGAGAGCTTATTAGTTGAATATTGAGTGTGGTCTTTCCATGTTAATTTTTGCTCAAAATAATTGCTTTTCCACCATCATCTGAAGGTTATCTTTTATTTACTGCTAAACCACAATCTCATGTTATTATTTACTTAATTATTTGTTTCATATACATTAACATTTGTGTTTTTCAGTACAGGTGCAGAAGTGAGCATTTAGTTTGAAATACCGCATCGAAGTATTTTTTTTGATGCCGCAAGATGTAGTTTTCAATTTGGCCGGGTGCCATTAACCTACTGACATCGATTATAACAGCATAATTAACTGAATTCAGTTCTATACTTAACCGATGCCACTTTTGTTGCGCGTAAGCTCCGCTACTTATTATTCTGTCAATGATATTATCGATGCGCGTCACTGCTTCTGATTTCTGGGCTCACCGGTGAGCGTGCCGGTCTTCCGACGTTGCCAGATGAACTACTGGTATAACAGGGGAAAGAATGGACTAATTGTGTGGGCCTGTTTGACTGGCTTGATTCGTTTAACGTCTCTGTTATACAGCGCATAATAATGACGGGCTACCTACAAACAGATAAAACTATAACAGCACTCTTATTGTATCGTTCTCGGTAAGGTGGGTGTAGAAATTCGAGATAAAAGATCAATATTATGTACAGAAGACGAGACTATGCATCTGCAGACGCGTTCTAACATTGGTTAATCACGTGCGAATTGTTTGAAAAACCCACCCTATTCTTCAGATGTACACCCTCTAATTTTCAATCAACTTCATGATTCAAGGAGTCCAAGTGAAGCATTCATTACAGCAATAAACAAGTACGAGTATTTCGAGAGGCTTTTAGAAAATCACTTTAGGAAAGGTATAAATCACACAGAAAATCGTCGGAAAAATATATTGAACTTAAATGCGATTGTACTGAGGAATAAGCGTGTAGAATCCAGAAACTTTTCAAATCACATATTCAGGCAACTGCCACCCCGACTACATTGTGTTCATACTTGGTGTTCTTCTTCTTCCACATCAACAAATAAATAAACCTTCTACCGATATAACGACGGAATTGGCTCATCCGAGTTCACCTCCCGGATCTTGGTGTTCTAGTTTTCTAGGTGTCAGTCCGATGCGACTTCTCGTTTCCACGTAAAATGTGGAAGAAATATCAGGAGAACTTTTCTAGAGTTCTAGTAACTTCCAAACTCGATTAACACGGTACTTCACCATGCTTCAGTGTAAGAAGAATACTGCGTCAAACCTGTCTCGTTTGTTTATACAGGGTGGCCCAACGAAAAGGTCGAAATGGAAGATAAAGTTTTTCTATGACATACGATGACACTGAAGGATGCTAAATGTTCTTGCTGGTATCTATGATTACACTGATCAACAGCCAAAAAATATCCTAAATAAAATCAACAAAATATTACTATTTTTAATGTGCTACAACCGGAATGAAACTTATTTTTTCAATATTAGTTCAAGTTTTAGAGATACGGTAATTACATGTGTTCCTGCTGTGACAGTGTTAATATACTGTAATTCACAAGAATGCACGTGCTACATTTTTATATTCGGCAAGGAAAGATGATGTAATCGGCATGATTGTGTTACGTTATACATACGTGTACATTATGTTGTTTTATATTAGCCATTTTTTCCTCAGTCGGCTGACAGCGTTCATGCAAGATGTCTCGAAAGTGTGTAAACAATCCAGATCAGTTTTGTTACGTGTGTGGTGATGTGACTTTTGCGTCTCAGAGACGGTCTATTACTCCACTAATAACAAAGGCATATCAGCTTTATTTCGGTTGTAAACTAGGTGATCAAGACAAACAGTGGGCACCCCACATCTGCTGTAATACATGTGCTTCAAGTCTGAGGAGCTGGTTAAATGGCAAAAAACGGTCTATGCGCTTTGCTGTCCCAATGGTTGGAGAGAGCCTACAAATCATATTAATGATTGTTACTTTTGCATGGTACCTTGTGTTGGACAAGCCACAGGTATGTCCAAGAAAAAAAAATCGGTTATTAACTACCCAAACATACCATCTGCGATGAGACCTGTGCCTCAAAGTGACGAAAATCCTATTCCAAAACCCCCAGAATCCTACACTTGCGAATCAGAAAACGAATCAGATCATGGCGATCGAGTGATTCGTCAGGAAGAAGATATGCCATCAACGTCAAGAGATCTTGATTTTATACCGAGCACGTCATGCCACCAGCCGCACAAAATAACACAGTCAGAATTAAATGATCTTGTAAGAGATTTAGAACTTCCAAAATGTAAGGCAGAGTTACTTGGATCAAGACTGCAGCAGTGGAACTTGTTAGAAGACGATGTTTCGGTATGTGTTTTTCGTAAACGCCACAAAGACTTAGAACCATTTTTCAATATGGAGAATAACTTGGTTTTCTGCAGTAACATTAACGGCTTACTGGCGGCTTTAAATATAAACTATAACCCAGAAGAATGGAGATTGTTTATAGACAGTTCAACATTGAGTTTAAAGGCAGTGTTATTGCATATTGGAAATATTTTACCATCTCTTCCTGTAGGGTATGCAGTTCACATGAAAGAATCATATGACAATATGAAGTACCTATTGACATGCATAAAATACGATGAGCACCAATGGCATATTTGTGGCGATTTGAAAGTTGTTGCACTTTTACT